CAAAGTGACTTCAAAGCAGTATTTTGTTCTACTATCAGAAAGCTGATCTTTGTTTGTGTATGTAATTTAGCAGTTGTAATGTTCAATGGCTGAGATAGCATAGCGGGCAGGGCTTGCACCTACCGCCTTGCACGCGGCCAACAGGGGTTCAATTCCTCCACCCCTCTGAGAGAGCAGGCAAGCTATCGAGAGTATTCTGTCCACACAGCAAAGCCTGGCAAGCTATCCGTGACACATTCAACATGCCAAAAACAGTACCAAGTCTCACGATGGAGACGTTACTTGTGCCTGCTCGAGCAAAATCGATGAACAATGGGAGGACAGGGCCACAGTGCAGTGTTCAATGGCTAGATCCATTAGCTCATTAGAAATGCAAGCTAACCATTTTTGAATTGAACATAATAATAGACACATTTGTTCAGAGAGTTCTAGGAAAGGATATATCTCAAGCAATCTTTTATCTTTCCTTCAGTATGCCCCTTTTTAAAAAAAAATTTATTTGTTCTTGAGCCTCTTTTAATTCTTGATTTTCTTATATGAAAATCAGGTTGTAGCACAATGCGATAGCCTAAATTTATAGTAACTCTCCAAAGGTAACATGACTATTTTAGAAGAGGAGAGATGAGACTTAGAGGAAAAGAAGCACTTATCAAAGAAAAGAAAGTACAAAATCAGGTGTATTTCAACTCAGTATAAACTCTGCCCAGAGAATATTCATATCACGAAGGTGACATTTTAGAACTATGAAACATTCAAAACTTGGAAAATCAGAACAGGATGATGAGAAGAAAAACTGAAACATGCCCCTAATTTTAAAGTTTTCTGCATGAGGATAAAAATAAATCTAGATTACCTTATTCATCTTTAAGAACATTGGATTTCAGTGGGAAAAATGAGAAATTTCTTTCTTCATGAAGCCTGTATTTTGTCTTAAACCAGTTCACTAATACCATGATATCCTGGGGTCACACTGGGCAATTCCATTCCACTGACCTAACAGCTGAGAGTTCTGAGTGACAGTAATAATATGCTAACTTCTAGTGTGAGTGTTCTAATGTCTGTCACAACATGAAAAGTATTCACTTAACAGAGAAATAAGAAAATCAGACAAACAAGATTTGTGTATGTGATTGAATATAAGGGTTCAGAAGAGCGGTTACATCACATTTGATTAAAGTCAATAGCAAATAAAATATAAAGCATGTTATTGGTATATCCACTCATTCCCATGGTGGGGACAAAGATAGGGAGAATTTCCTTTCTTTATGGTCTTATTGAAATAGAATTCAAATAGGATAGAATTTACGCAGTTAACATGTGTATAAAACAAGCTCTTTGGTACATTCATAGGGTTATACAACATCTGACTTTGGAACATTTTCATCTCCACTGAAATTTACACTCTACTCAGGAACTGTTACTTCCCACTTTCTTTACTCCCTTCCCAAACCCTCTACAATCTCTAATCTATTTTATCTCTATATAGTTGCCATTTTAGATATTGGCTTTTATTCGCATTTGTAGCCTGACCACTAAATTTACTAATTTACTTTGTTATCAGAACAAGAAAAATAGCCCACAGAAATATGCATGCAGTCAAAAACTGTAGTTAGATAACCCACAAAGTTATTTTTGAAGTCAATAGTATCTGATAATTTAAATAAACAATTGCCAAGCAGTGAATTTGTCAGAATGATGACAGATTATTCTGTCAAATAAGAGTGACAGAGTGCAGGACAGAAAGAGACAGAGGGTTAAACACTAATAATTATAAACTTGAAATGGACTTGGTGCCGCAGAATTTTTCTTGTTTGAAAGAAAAGCAGTTGCAAAATAGAAATACTTGCAAATTCAAATCCTGGCCTCACTGCCCACCACTGAATAAGTATGACTTGAGTATGAAAAATTATGACACTGAATAAGTAGCAGAAGATTTGTAAAGTAATTTGTATCTGTAATATGAGAAAGAATGATGTTTATGACCTTCTGAAGTTAGTGAGGAGCTTAGTTTGTAGAACCAGACCAGGCACATCAATGTTCAGTGAATGTTAGGTGTTTGGTTCTTAAGAACACAGTAGTTTAAGTCAACTTTCAAAATGGAATCCTTAACTGTGACAATTTGCTCAATTTGCTGCTTACTACATGTGACTGATATTTTCAAACATCTCTTCAAAGAAGTTACATGAAAACAATGTATAGAGATTTAAGATAATGTAACATAGAGAGTAGCATTTAAAAAGTATGATTACTATAGCTGTAAATCAACCTTCAGTTGTTTTAGACGCATGTGTTCTATATATAGTACAAGTGTTAATATATTATTCTCACCTAAAATCAATATAGTTGATTTCATTTTCTAAATTAAAAGAAAAACTGAACAGCAACAAAATGCTTATATAATGTATTATAAGTGCCTAATTAAGAATTAATAATAGTGTAAATTGTTATAAACCACATATAACCTCTCCGAGTTGAAATGTTTAAGACCCCAAATGTGTGTCTTATAAATCTTTGTGTACTGAAATTATGATTTGATTTTATTTCCATAAATATAAGGTGATGTAAACCCCAACAATGTCACTACTTTTTCTTAAATTTCAATGCAAAATGGTTTTAAGTAATAAGATTAATATGATAAATAATTTTATATATGAGGGATTATTGTTTATTTTATGTTCTTTTAAAAATTTTGGTATCAAATACAATTATGTCCCAATCCAATGAACCATGATACACAAAATATTCATATGTGAGGAATGGTCACACATTACAATTCGTGCTTTGCACAGACATAAGAATTCATATCACAAACCACACATTTTCATTTTCTTTTCACCCCATGAAACATCAGTGCTGTGGCTTGCATGTGGCCTCATCATAGCCCTCGAAGTTCTCCATGTTGTCAGTGTCTACATTTTAACCTGACTTTACTCTTCTGACATTATTTTGTATTCGCATGGAATTTGTACAAATTTGTTTGCATGACAAGTCATCCTTAATGTTGAAGTTCAATGTCTTATACCTTGCAATATCACGTATCATTACTCTTACATGATATTTTTTTCTTTTGTTTTCAGTTTCTGAAGTTTAAATATGCTTAAAATGTAAAAGTGGCATGAAACTGAAGTGATGCAAGAATATTTAACATTGCTTTAAGAACTTAACAGTTTTTAACTGGGAAAATTGGGGAATTCCCAGGCTTATCTTTGATACCAATCCTTAATTAGAAATACACAATAATATTGACTCTAAGTTCTGACAATAGAAAAATAATTATGTCATTTTTCTCAGAATATATTTCTTGAACTTAAATCTAAAACACAAAATGTGTTCCCTAATTTCAAAATATATTTAATATTTTAAATTAAACTCTACTGACTTGTTGAACATTCCAAGTAAAAAAACTAATTAATTACTGAATGACAGTGCTAACATTTTAGTATTCTGATATCTTGTGTATGAATTGATTTCAAAAATGTTTATTTAATAAAGTATATATGAGTATCCAAATAAAATTTATCAAGCTTAATGCCCAAATAGGGCATATAACTAATTTCAACCAATAATCAAAATAGATATATCCAAACAACTGCTTTTCCATTTAAGAAGTCTTACTTGTATCTTGCTTGCTCGACTTTTATTCCTACCACCTGCCATCGCTAACACTGTTTTAACATTCCCTTTGTCAAATTATCTTCAGGTTTCTGGGCACATTCATTTTACAATCTGTGTGGTTAAAAACAACAGCTGCACAATTCCTTGAAGAATGACTCTCAGACACAAATTAGTTAAATCAAGATAATCAAACTAGTGAAACAAAAATTTTGAATGATATGGGGGAAAGAGAATTAAAACCTGCATATAAAATTATTGAACATGTTTCTCAAAGAAGAACCCCATAAGACCTTTTACATAATGATAGGGAAAAGAAATGGAATTTACTTTAGTTGATGAGACAAGCAAATGATACACAGTTGAATGAATACATTCTAATATATAAAAATTATATACCTATGCTTTAAACTATGTTTATTTAAGCTAATCGAGGGCTTACATTTTTAAAGGATAGCCTTGCATTGTGTTTTATCAGGCCCATTATGACCCTGCCTCCATTACTCGAGTAATTATGGCGTAAACACCTCCTTAGACGGTATTTTAACAGATTTGGCTGACAGTCATCACTTAGTCCTTAGGTTGATAAGGACTCTGTCTCCCAGTGCCTTTGGCCTCCTGCCCACCAAACAAAGGCATGGTGCTCAATATCTTTATGAACTCTTTTGATTAGAAACATTGTATCTGTTATCACATATCAACGGGAGATACTGTAATGATCATATATTATAAATCTGTACACCTTTTCTACAGTTTTCTTTAAATGTAAGCTGAAGTACTTTAAATTTAAACTCGTTCAAAAGGCATCTAGCTTGGTGGAAATGGTCAGCAGCAAAAGTCATGCCTCCATCTGTTGGCGACCCCCAGCTCCACCAAATAATACAAGGACATGGAGTCACAGAATGAAGCTAGCTTCTGTAGTAAGATCTTTATTCTGCCTTATGATGAAAAAGACGGTACTTACATTCAATTTTCCCACTGCCCTCGAGTCTCCCAACCTAACGGCTGCTATCCTTGTCATTCTACTAACGAAGAAGATATTAAGTGTGGCGAGGTTCCCACTCCCAGGGATCACTCATGACTTACCCAGCTGTAGAAGAGAACAAACGCTCTGAATCGCCTGTTTCCAAGACGATCTTTTCCCCTTCCATCCTCATTTATCTGCAATTTGTCCTTCCTTTGAAGAAAATTTTTCAAATTTTTCCTTCCAAGAAATTTACAATTCTAGAAAAGAAAACCTGCCGGTCGGACCCCCGTGGCACCTCTTTCGAATGTCCTCTTGCGTCACTGCAGCTCTCTCTGCTTTTACAAACTAGTTGTTTTGTCAGCATGAGTGTGACAGCAATTAGACGTCCCCTGTTTTGCCCCATGCCTTTTCTCCTTCACAGTCATTCAATGACAAGCGTAAAAAGAGCTTCATCTTTTCACGAAAATTCCCATTCTACAAGAACAAGGAGCAGAGTGAGCAGGAAACCAGTGATCCTGAACGTAAGTAGATTCGCAAAGAGAATGTCACATGCCACACGAGAGCAAAAAAAAAAATCCTTCATGGGCAACACGCATGATGAAGGTTTCCCAACGTCACATGCCTAGGCGAACACAGCAAGGCAGGCAGGTCAGGGCTTACTACTGTGACCAGGGGTTGACTGCAGTCTGGATCCTTCCCTGGACGTGGCTCTTCTTTGCAAACTGCAGAGGAGATGATTCAGGAAGCTGCGACTAGGCTTCCCACCAGAATCTGGTTCTAAGCTTGGGTCTGGTTTGCTTTCTCTATCATACAACTCCCTAGGGCTTGAGACTAATGCTTTTTCTGCCCAGAAATAATGCAGCCCATTGCCACCTGCATTTTTTTTCTTTTCTTTTCTTCTTTTTTTTTTGGGGGGGAATGACTTGTAATTGGCCATGACTCTATTCCCTTTTTGATTTTCTAGCATATTATTTGTTCATGTTTCCCTCCCTACAAATATCAACACTGAGCGCCGAGCGTTAACTGCACACTAGGCCTCAGAATCCATCCCAGAAGTTGAAGTGGAATGTGGCTCTAAGTAGCATGTTGTGAGTCTCCAGGGAGAGTGTAGTTAGGGCCTTTGCCTTGCAGGAGACCCACCTGGGATCAAGCCCCAGCATCATGTGTGGTCTCCGGAGTTCTTCCTGGAAAGACTCCTTAACACAGAGCCAAGACTAAGCCCCGGGCACCACCAGGTATGGGGCAAAACAGACGAAACCAACAAAAAATAATCAGTGACACGTTTCTGTGGCAACCTGTTTCTGACAGTGGGCAAAATCAATTTTTGCTGAATCTTCCCCTTCTGGGTACTTTTGCCTAAAACTCGTGAGTTGTTTTCTAAATTCTCAGCCCAGGGAGTTGGGGGCAAAAAATTGTTTCAAAAGCTGACTATGTGGATCCAGATTGCTGCGGCAACATGGTCTGTCCTGGTAGTATCCATTTCAACTCCACTGACTTCTTCCTTCCTCTTCCGCGGCTGCTCTTCCTCTCTCATTGCTCTCTCTGGGGACTTCCGTGCAGGACATCCCCGGATTAGGTGACGACGGTTATGGAACAAAGACTCTGAGTAAGTTCCCAGGAATGGTCACTGTAACTTTTCTTTTTCTTTCCTTTTGAGTTTGGCTTCTGTTCCTTTTCTCGAGGGCCTTTCACCCCTAGCATGCACAAGATCCAGTTTTATTTGTCACCTAGCTGTGAATGCTCCTACGAAGTAATGTTCGGCCCTTTTGTTCTGCATGTCAGCATTGAAAAGCAAAGTGTCCAGGCACTGTCACTTGCGCTGCAGTTCAGTCGCCCTTTCTGCCCAGGTGTGATTATCAACATGGGACTGATGCCAACCACATGGGCATCACTTGCTCTGCCACCTAAGGCCCCCCAGAGAGCAAGAAGCCCTGTTGAAGGAAAGGGTGATGTGAATGTTCTAGAATAGTAAAGCAGAAATTTTGCTATTTCCTTCAGACATTTTACCAGGCACCATTCATTTGCCTTGCCAAATTCCGTAATTGGATTGTACTTCACTACTAGTCAAGGAGCTACTTTATGGTGAAACGGAACATGCATTCTCAGAAAAGCAAATCTTTAGCTATTTGATCTTCTCTGATTCTTTGTTAACTTCCATTGACTTTTTCCTGACTTTCAGTGACCCTACTTGAAATGTTATATATATGATAAAGTTTTAGGTGTGTTTGGATATGTTTTCCTATTAGTAGTTTATTAGCTAAGTTACATCAGGTCTTCATTTTACAGCACAAAATGGAAAATACAATATAGTATACCTTTAATTTTTTAAGTTTTATTGACTTTAGCCTGTGTCTCATTGCACTAAGTAATAAAAAATAATAACCCTGTGTATTGATAGTGAAGAATATTATGATTTTTCTTCTTTATTGTTCCATTGTATATGCACCAGTGAAATAAAAACAGAATTTTGTGTCTTTTACACTCCTATCATATGCTCATTTTTTATTTTCTTTCATTTTAATTTAAGAGCTATGGGCAATATTTTTAGAAGCTGCTCATTTTATTTGTATAAAAACTAAATGCATTGAGCTGGAGTTTGTTTTCAAGAATTATTTAAACAATCATGCATAATAATACTTTTCATCTTTCAAATTGCTAATTTGCACTTTTTCAGATATGTATATGTAGAAAGCAAAATCTTATCAAGAGAAACTTCTCATCTCCTTAAAGATGAAAACTTTATCACTGACTCCCTACTATGAATTTCTATTAAAATTTTTTTAATTAGTAGCTGATCTCCAAATCGTAATTTCAACATCATCTGGGTAGCATCAAGTAGCAACAGAGTTTCTAACTTTTCTCTGTGTGATAGAGAAAGGAAGAAGAAACATTTTAATATATTGCTAATAAATGAATACCACTAAAAAGTGGTTGTCATTAACATGCCAGAAATGTAACTGGTATATTTTTAAATATAGCATGCTCAAATGTTTGTATCCATTTTAAAAATGGAACATATTTCTCTAGGTGAAATTTTCTTTTACCTGAATATTATTGTAAACAATAATCTGGACCTTTGTTAAAACATATTTTTAACTTCTCATTGCCTATAAAATTATTTTGTTGTGATTTCTTGATGCTCAGAAAATTGGTTGTAAAATAAGACACAAAAGGGTTGTAGATTTCTCTATAGAAAATATATTATCATTCTAATTTTTTTTATTTGGTTTGATTCCATTTTATTTGGGGCCACACCCAAAGGTGTTCAAACACTACTCCTGGCTGTGTGCTCATGGCTCACTCCTGGAGTTGCTTCAGGGGCCATAAGCAGTACTAGGATCAAATCCAGATCTTCTGGCTATAAATCATGCACTCCAGCCCCCTGAGATACTTTTTAAACCCTTCTAAATTATTTTTGAAATAAAAGTGAAAACCAAAATATTTATCTCCAGTTGGTACTTAAAATACTCATGTATAGAAAGATAAATTGCCACTAGGATTAGTGTACCTTGACTTTCTTTTTTGTTTTTAGTTTCCAAAATTTTATTTTGATGAAGCACCATGAATTACAAAGTTATTCAGAATTGAGTTCTTGATATACATATCCATCACCAACCCAGCCACCTGTGTCAACTTCCCTCCACCAACTAGTGGTGATGAGGAAACACCACCAGTGTTCCCAGATTCCCTATCCCCACCCCCCACCCCAACCCCAGTCTGGCACCTTTTAAAACTAATTATTAAAATTTGGGTCTCGCACCCTTCCCCCCTCCCCCCACCAATTTACACAAGATAAATATGTTTCAGTTAGCCATGCAAAGGTATGGTGTATATAGCTCAAGGGTAAAGCATTTGACCATAATTAGCTTTGCAGTTCTGATCATAGACCAGTAAAATGAGAAATGATTCATTTGAATGTAATTCCTGCTTTGTTTTTTTATTCATTTATACTCTAAAACTAATCCATCTAGGATTGTGGGAATCCTGTCAAAATATACATGTATACCAAATAATAATACCAAACATCGGGGCCAAAGAGATAGTACAGCTGGTAGGGTACTTGTTTTGCATGTGGCTGGTCAGGTCCACTAGCTGGCATCATATCTGGTCCTCCAAGCATCACCAAGAGTGATCAGTGAGCACCACTGATTGTGGTCTCCAAATGAACAAGAAATTAAAGTTCAGTGAAATATTTTTAAAAATTAATTTTATTAATATTATTGAGCTGCAATCTATAATAGCAATATATTTTAAATACCTTTTTTAACCATGATGATGCTGTGTATTATTTTCCTTTTTCTAAAAACATACAGTGGTCACATTTTTAAAAAACTAAAGCTATTCCTAATGAGCTTCAGAAATCAAACACTCACCTACTCTTAATCTTGTTATCTCATATGGAGTAAAGGAAAATTCACATATTCACATACACACACACACACACACACACACACACACACACACATACATACATACTTTGGGCCGAGACCTATACATAGTACAGACCACCCTGTGCCTGTTTGGTTCTCCCATAATCCAATTAAAAAAACACAGCAATAAATTATTGCTCTGATTAATAAAACACTCTTACACTCTTCTGTGATTTAGTTTTCTCTCCAAAACTTTCACTCACTGAATCAGAAGAAAAAAAAACAACTGCTACCAATTACTCTTTCCATCCTGATAATCATTTTAAATAAATAGAAATAGAGTTAAATAGAAATAGAATGCAAGGAATTCCAGGGAACAAATGGTAATTTTAATGCAGTGTCCCAGCAAAAATAAACAAATATATACAAATGAAGACAAAAACCGAGAAACAAAAAAATGCTCCATGAAGGCAGCATCTACACAACAGAAGCTCCGTCACTGGTAGGCAAGAAGCCTACTCGCTTCGTAAGAGTATAGACAATAAAAACTAAATAAGTGGGTCAAAGTAATTATCCCTCCCCCAAAAAAGTGCTTATATTAAGATTACAAATTTTCTGTAATTACAGTTACTTTTCTTTTTTTGTTCAAAAGACAGCAACCAAGTAGCTTTGTATAAAAATGAAGATAAAGTTTTCATCTTCTTTATCATTTCTGGGTTTTCTGAAGCTGTCTTTCCTGCAACCTTTTACTTGCTTTGCCCTCATGTTCCTGGTAGGCTTGCATGAGTGTATTCCTTTATGTTATGGCTGCTCTACAGTGCTTAGTATTTCTTTAATTTGCTGTGCTGTTCTTGCAGAACATGTTTCTTCTAATGCCAGCGATAGTGAAAGTAGCTACAGTAAGTTACTGCTTTGGCGCGTGGTTCTTTTCTTTGCAATTGCCCATTGCCTGCGGTGGTCATTCTAGATTTTTGCTGTTGTTTTCAATTGCTTCCCTTTATCATCCTCATTCACAGCAAATGGCTTGAGATGAAATCACCATTTTCTGCAGAAAGATGCAAAAGACACAAGAGTCATGGCAATCTCTAGGTGATTTGCAGAAACAATGACAATATTGGTAATAAACAATCCCATTTTTAGTTGACTGTCAC